TTATTCACCAATTTCCCTTCTCTTCTTGGGCAGACAGAATTCCTTTCCCAGCTTCCTTACAATTAGGTGCATCTAATTGATTCGGATATGGCCAATGGGTTACAAGCTGAACATCTTACAGGCCTGCTCTATTAAAAATCAAAAGCAAACAAACAAAAAAACACAAACGCCAACACTTCACCCTCTTTTGTTGCCCAACTGTTGAAATAGAGAGGGCTCTGTGTATCAAGAAGAGGGTGGAGCCACAAGATGGAAGGACCCTGGGTCAATGACTGACCAAGTGGAGCAGAGCCTCTCCTCAAAAGTCAACCCCTGCTATCCTAACGTGAGGGAAGAACTAATTTTTAGTTGTTGTCAGACCACTAATATTTTGAGGTTTGCCTCACAGGTTCTCTAAAAATTTGAAGTAAGGTTTTATGTACACTGTAAATCACTTACAGTCAGTATATAAAAGGCAATCATTGAAATAATGAAAACAACACTGACAGAAGAGTCAAGTTTTGAGACCACCTTGTAACTAGGAGGTAGGAGGGTTCCTAGAGATAATTTCAAGTACAAATTATGTGCCATCTTAAGCTTTCTCATGCTGGTGATAGCAAAAAGTTGAAATGTCAGGGCTTCCCTGGTGGCGCAGTGGTTGAGAGTCCGCCTGCCGATGCAGGGGATGCGGGTTCGTGCCCTGATCCAGGAAGATCCCACATGCCGCGGAGCGGCTGGGCCCATGAGCCATGGCCACGGAGCCTGTGCTCCACAATGGGAGAGGCCACAACGGTGAGAGGCCCGCGTGCCACACACACACAAAAAAAGTTGAAATGTCCCCCTTATTCTATCAATGCTCCAGTTCCAGTGTTTCTTATATATTCAGGAATATATAAGCTTGAGGCACACAATTCATTTCTTTTTGTTGTTTGCTGGATTCACTCACTGGGGCAGAGGAATGTAAGTTGCTAAACAGAAGGTGGCCTGGCTGAGTGACAGCCAAAGTTTGAACTCTCTATAAGGTCTGCTGGTCTGATTGTGACCCTGAGTGTTGATCCTCCTTCTTGCTGGGACAGAGGCAAATATTTCAGGGAAGGATGCTCTCCCTCTCTTCACACCTCTCCTTCCCATGTCAAACTCAGTGAAAGAGGCTCCAAGTTAAATGGAACAGGACCCTTCTAAAGAAACGCAACCAAAACCTACCTTGTTTAGTTCTGTTCTACCTTAAAATCATAAATGAATGCTATTACATATTCTTGAATTAGGTCCTAAACCTTGCATTTCAAATTTAGTACTTCAATATATCCAGCAATTGCCTATCTCTTGCAGAGTTCTAACAAAATTTTCTCCCCCTAGAAAGGTAGTTTTTGAACACTTATCAACTAGGCACCATTATTTCTCCAATGAGATTTTGGGCCACATCTATACTGAGTTTCGATATGTGTCTCTCTGCTTCTCCACTGAGTCCTTCCTCTATTCATTCATTGCACTATTTTATTATAATTATCCAATTCATTTGTAACATGTCTTATTTGGTAAAACAGTTCTCCATTTCTTTTTATTAAAATTGACTGAGCTACTTTGTTATATATATTTTGGGAAAAGTTTTTCAAATTTGTCATAAAATCCAGCTCTAATTTTGATTACTTACAGGTTAAAGGTATACATTAATTTGCATATTACAAATTATTAAGCTATCCCATCTAAGAATAGAAAATGTCTCTGTTTATTCTGATCTTTTATGTCTTTGTAGAGAGTTTTAATGTTTCTGTTTTTAGGTCTTGTATATTCTTTATTAATTTCTGGATAGTTCTAAGTTTTTGGTTGCTGTTTTTGTAAATGTATAGATTATTGCTTATATAATAGAACAATATTGAATATTTAAGTTGATTTTATATTTAGTAACTTTGCTACACTTCCTTATTTAGTCCTAAAATATTTTCAGTTGGGATATTATGTTTTGTCTTTACGGGGGGGATTTTTGGTCTTTTTTCACTCTATATTATTTATTTGCAATTCTCTTTACAGTATTTTTATAAAATCAATTTTGCGGTAGATTTGATTAATTACTTTCAAAAATCCAGTTTTTGGTTTCACTAACATACTCAATTTTTTTTTGCTCTTGTTATTCTTTGCTGTATGTCCTGTCTTATTTCTATTACAGCTTTCCTTTTCTTCATGTGTTAGCTATTTCCCCTTTTCCAACATCTTGAGTTTTGTATTTAATATTGGTTTGTTGATACCAGGTTTCTAAACCTCAGCCCCATTGACATTTTGAACTATGTAATTCTTTCTTATGTGTTTGGGGGGCTATTCTATGAACTGGGAGTGTTTATCAGCATCCCTATCCTCTACCCACTAGCTTCTAGTAGGAATCCTCTCTTAGCCATGGCTATCAAATGTGTGTCCAAACAGTGCCAAATGTCTCCTGTGATGGAAAGGAAATAACTTCTGTTGAGGACCACTGAAAATTGATCAAAGGCATATAACAAACTGAGAACTATTTATTCAAGAAAAACTACTGAAACTAAGAGAAGAACACTGGCAATCTGATATTTCAACCTTGAACTGCTACCTTACCCTCCACCTCCATCAGTACTATAGATCTACCAGGGTGGGGCAAGTTATGAAAGCAAGCAACTTTACTGTCGGGGGAGCTAACATGACTTGCAGTGGAAGCTGGAAAAACTCCATGACCCAGAGTTATCCAAAATAATAGTAATCTCAGTGGCAAATGTAGCAGCTTGCCTCAGTTTGCGAAAATGATTAAGGCAAGCAACTAACCAGCCAACTAGCCAGATATTCAAGGAGATCTTGAGAATGAAACAGCCATAATGGGCCTTGATAAGCTGTCACATATTCCTGGCTGTCTGAAAGGCTATATGCATGCACAAGGTCGCACATATGTTCGGGAAAGTTCAAAGAGGGCTATAGTTATTTATACATCTTTGGCTAAGTGAGAGGCCTTCTACATGAGCAGAAGAGACAAAAAGGCCAGCAGATATTAAAAGCTGAATCAGATTAATAATTGCCTGCAGTTTGTATGTGTTCCCCAATGAACATACAGGTTCAGTGGCAAAGGGATGAACTGTCTCAAGGTGTTTAAGCACAAACTTTGGTCAATCATGCTGACACAGGAATGATCCCTAGAAACCAGGATTAATATAAAAGCAAGAAGAAAAAACAAAAACAAAAATACTGAGGCATCAGTATATCCATACACTACAGGGGAGAAAGGCTCCTTATAATTAGTGGAGGGAAATCCCTAAGCAAACACAGGAACAAGCATAACACCTATGGGAGAATGCAAATCCACAGCTGTTATAATATATTATATAAAATCTCTTGTTTCCAACAAAAAATTAGCAAATATGCAGAGGAATGGGAAAGTGTTTCACATACTTTGGAAAAAGCAAACAATGTCTCTGATGGACTCGAGATGTTGGACTTAGCAGACAAAGACTTCAAAACAGCTATTATAAATTGATCAAAAAAACTAATGTAAACTATGCTTAAATAATAAAGGAAAGTATAAGAACAACGACTATTCAAATAGAAAATATCAATTAAAGACCTAGAAATATAAAAAAGAACCAAATAGAAATTCTTGAGTCAAAAAGTACAGTAAGTAAAATAAAAAATTAACTATAGGGACTCAAGACAGTGGCATTATTCATAATATCCAAAGACCAGAAGCAATCTAAATGTACATCAACCCGTGAAGAGATAAACAATATATGATATATTCACACAACAGGATACTTACTACTCAGCAATAAAAGGAATACAATATTCATGTAGTTCATATAAGTGAACCTCAAAACACTATGTGAAGTGAAAGAAGCTAGATGCAAAAGACGATATATTGAATTTTTCTTTTATATGAACTATCCATAAAAAGCAAATCTTAGAGGTAGAAAGATTAGAGCTTTGCTTGGAACTGGGGGAAGGACCCAGAATTGACTAGAAGTGGGCACGAGGGTTCTTGTCTTGGTGATGAAAATGCTCTAATATGGGATAGATTTATTAAATCATTAAAAGGTTTACTTAAAATGAGTGAATTAGGTTGTGTGTAAGTTATTTGCCAATAAAGCTGTTAAAATATTGTTATTCATATCAAATATAAATAGAATTTTAATGGATCAAATGTATTACATTTTTCTTGCAAATAATAATAATCATTATCATAGTATTAGTAAAGATTGTATATTTAGCCTTCATTATGCATCATTATATGAGACTCTTTAAATGTATAATCACATTATTTACAACTATGAGAGAGAAAATAATAACTACCATGATACAGGTAAATGAATGCACACTAAGAGGAAAAAAAATTGCTATAGGTAGCTTGACTCCTAAGTTCATGGACTCAACCAACGCTTTTTATAGTTTGCTAGTTGTGTCTGTGTGTGTATGTGGGCACATGCACATGCATTAGAGAGAAATGAGACATGATGTAAGATTAATATTGGGCAAATATTTTCAATGGAATATAATGCTGTAGATAATATATTTTAAGACTTCATAATTACTGGGTAATATATATAAATACAAGTAAAATTACTGTTAAAATTATTAATTTCTTAGGGATTAAAATTTCAATAACTCTTTAAATTGCCAAAAGATATTTTAATTTCAGTCTCAAATTTTTCAAGAAAGTAAGTGAAAAATTAACCTTTTGACTTATTAACCACTTGAGAATACTAGCAGCATTTTTCTTAGACTTCACACTAAACCATAAATTTTAAAATAATGTCTATAAATAAAAACCTAATAGATTATAATATCATAATGTAGATTTCAAAATAAGAAAAAATTTGATGCATTGTTTTCACATTTTTAGTAATGTGAAACTGTAGCTTATACTCTAAACTATAACTACCTTATAAACCATTCTAAGCTCCATTTTACTAACACAAATGGTCAAGCCAATCACATAAAATATAGTTTCTTTCCTTTGTTTAACACATGAAAAATTCATCACTGATTCTCTGACTTTAAATTCATAAGCTTTACTATTACCCATTAGAAGAGGTGTTTTGCTGACACAAAGATAAAATACATTATTTATAATCAGTAAATCTTCATAGTATAAGAGTTTACATCAGTGATTATCCAGAACTGGTAAAAAAAGAATGGTTAGTGGAAAATCTTACCACGCCAATGGAAAAGTAATTATTGATGATACTGTAAGGCACTGGGTCTCCCTTCTCATCTTTGTCATTAGGTATGACTTCAAACTTCCACCTGTCCAACATGATTTCTGTGCTGTTTTCAATGTCTTTTAAGATTTTCATCAGATTCTCACCTTCATAACCTAATGAAAAAAAATTATCTTGAGAAGAAATATAACCAAATAACAAAAGCTGTAATCATATATTTTTAAGCGTGTGAATATGTATCATTCTAAAGCTAAATAATGCATTTTAAAGCAAATTCTAACACAGGTTGAAGAATTAACTATAATCTTATTATACTCATAACAATATTTTAGCTTTAGCTTTAGTTTGTAACTCATATTTCACTCCTGTGGGACAAATTCTCAGTAGAGCCAACTGCCAAATAAACATCTCCAATGCATTACCCCTCACAAAACTTTTAATCAATGTATTTATTCAAAGTGGAATTAATGATGTGCTTTGGTATCATCCTCCTGTGAACTCTCCCTCCGAAAGACAGCTGACTTTCCCCTCCACCCGGCTGCTATAGTAAAAAGCCTGGATGCCGTGTTAGACTTGTCCCTTGCTTCTACTCCCTCTGCAGGCTTTATATTTGATAACACTTTTTTCCAGAAGCCACCCTCCCAAAATAATGGATTCTGTACAGTACCACAGCACACAGTTCTCAAAACTAGCCCTACCATATAACTAGCATGGTGCACTATAGTTATTTTCATTTGTCTCCCCACAAGTTCCTTTTACCAGGTGTGCCCTGCAGTCAATGTCCAACAAATCCATTTCTAAATAAATCTACTATAGATAGTCACCATGGCCAGAAAAGAAACTTGTTGCTTAATATTATACTTTCTCTTAAATGTACCTTTAGGTATCTAACATTATAGTTAATTAGGGCTGTAGCCTAATCCTGGCTGTGTTATTTACTTCAGTGTTTGCTTTTAACATTCTAAACAGTTTCTTCCTCTGTAAAAACTTAGGTTTGGTGTGAGAATTAATTGAGAAAAAAAAATGAGAAAATGCCTAAAAGGTCTTAGTATATAAGGCAAAAGAATAGAAAGTTGTCAACAATAATACTGACAATGACATTAGAATTTGAAATGTACTAAGTTAAATAATCTTTCTAACTCTAAACACATTCTTACAATGATATTTTGAGTAGCAACAATATTTTCATAGATTTTCTTCCGTGTCCAACTTCATTCTATATTTTAATAATTTATTTGTTGAACAAGAAAATGCCAGAGGCTCTGAGTCCTCGTTAGATGTGTTAGCACACATAACTCTGGAAAAACCGATTGGATTAAAAGAAAAGGGAATAGGCACTGTAATATGCCAAGATTAAATTACATTTATGCTGTATTTGTTGAATTAACTATTAGAGGGGCAAGGCAGCCAGAAACCAAGAATACGTATCTTGGAGCCTACCATCTCTTCTTACCTTACACAGGTCTAGAAACTAATTATGCACCATTCAATACACACAGCAAAGAGTACAACAAACAATGACTACACAGATATAAACATTAAAAGTATTAAAAACCATTTCAATAAATGTCATACCATATTTTATAGCATAATTCAAAAATTATGAACTTATATAATATACATATAATTGTACTCAGTGATAAAACACTGAATTGTTTAAACTACAAGAGTATAGTAATTAAGCGTACTTATTTTTCAGGTGTTTCTTAATAGTTCCACCCTCATTCCCAATGTTTATTTTCTTTTTAATTTCTTTTAACGCCCCCCAAATAAATTATATATATATATATATGTATATATATGTTTACCTATTGCATTGAATTAAAAACAGTTAAATATATTCACCTATTTTCCAAATTCTACTCTTGTTTGAAAATAAGTATGATCGTTTTAGATATAAATGAATTTATATACATTAAACTAATGTTGTATAATATAGTATGAAAGTATAGTATATTTAATATACAGTATTATACACAAACCCACTCAGCAGAAATATGAGTAAATGATAATGCTCTAAAACAAACATTGAGCTTGTCCTCAGCTACATCTCAGGTTAATAGAAGCATTGTTCAGCATAACACTGGAAAAATGTAAGAACGGCAACCGACCAGGAGACAACATAATAGAATTGAATTTAATGAAAGAATTAATAGAGCTAGATTAAGTAGGGTCAATTAACTTAAATTCTTTAGCACTGGATATGTTCTCAAAGTTTTTATGGCTATGTATGAAAAAGGCTGGTATCAATCAGTCTTCTAGCCAAGTAAAAATGGAAAGAGAGGCAATAAATCTATTTGGAGAATCATACCTGCAGTTCATTGCTAATTCTCAAAGGTGAAGAATTCCAAATCGTAGTTCCCCATTTAACAAATATCTATGCCCTACTTGTTTAGATTTATCTGTGCTCAAGCTTGTTTAATAATGATCCATAACTATAAATAGGATTCCTGAACTCAAAAAGATTATATTTTTTTTTAAAAATATACATTAAACATACTAAATATGCAAACAAAGCTTGTTCCAGAAAAGAATGATGCTATTTTGCTTCCATTATTTTGGTTTAAAGCCTATAATCACTCTAGGCTAAGAAACCAAATGAAAACGTAATTAGTATTTATCTTCGCTTTAATGATATGATGTTATCATAATGACTGATTCTATCTAAAATGTCATAGAAATTTTTACAAATTTAAAATCACATAAAGAAAAGCAACAACATATATTTGTAAGAGTGTGCTCCATGTAAAATTCTGCCTCCTACCCCCTCACTCTTCACAAAACAACATTTTTCTTGCAGTAAACTTCAGGATTTTGCTTGAGAGATTAATCATTGCCAGAAAAATTGCAAAGAGAATGTAAATTAAGTGTTTTTTTCAAATGCCCTACAACATCTTATATTTGTACAGTGTTATGTTTTCCAAAATATGTAAATATACTCATAAAAATTAAGCTTCCAGTCAATAGATTCCAGTGATATTACGTGAACAAAATGATTATTGGTTGAATAAAGTAATTTCTTTCCCAAATGTTAAGCATAATGATAATTACTATAATTACAGGAAGGACTCAGCCCAGACACTGGGGAAACAATTTGATAGTTGGGTGTAAGAACCTCCAAGGCAGATACCATTATTTTCTTCAAGTTCTGATGAGGAGTCTGAGGCACACAGTTGTTAAGCAACTTGCTCAAAGTTAGATGCCTGACAAGAAATAATGCCACCCCAGAGCATGTTTCTTTATTAGTAAACTCTAGCAGATCGCACCTCCATTTTCCTAACTGCACACCTTGGGCATCTTGCAGTCCCCCTTGATACCTCACTTTCCCCAAAGTCCCTACCCAATCCATTGGCACGTTGTATCAGTCTATCCCTGAAAATGTCAGTGTGTGCACTTGTCTCATTTGTATTACCACCGCCCTAGCCCAGCCCATTTATCCTCTAAATACAATGGTAATCCAAATTCTCCTTTCAAAAACTATGCTTCCCCACATTGCCACATTTTCTTAACAGTCTTTTATGCCCCCCAATTAACCTATTTTGAAAACACAAATGTCACTGTGACACTCTGCTTCTGAAACTCTTCCAAAGTTTCACTGTGTGCTTCAAAGTCAATCACATAAAATTTTTACCATGACCATTAAGACCTGCATAATCTGGCTCCTGATTCTCCAACGTCATCCTATTCACCCCGCTGAGGCCATACCTACCCACTGCCCCATGACCTGTTAGAGTTACATCAGCCTTCCTTCAGTCCTTTCAGTACAAAGAGCTCGCTCTTTCTTCCTCATATTTCAAATCCAGCTTAAATGTTACTTCCTCAGAAAGGTCTTCTTGACCATACAGCTGAATAGTTCCCCTCGGTTATTCTCTGAAAATACACTCTGATTCTTTCATATCCTTGACCTTATTTTGTAATTATATATTTCATTATTCAGTGATTTATTGTCTGTGTACGCAATGAAAATGTAACCGCCAAAAGGGTAAGAACCCTTTATTTATTTTCTCATTTAATATCCATCACCTAGAACAGTGCCAGCACATGACAGACATGCACAAAGAGTTCATCATCAATATACACTTTGACATATACTATAATCCATGTGTCTTTGGCCACTGATAAGAATATCTTTAAAACTGTTTACAAGGAAATAATTAGAAGATGCCCTGAATGGAACTTCTATATCAATTTTGAGATTTAAGTCATTTGCCAGCTTGAAACCAAAATAAAATTATTCATTTTCAAATATCAAAAACATTTCCAGAGGAAGACATAAGAAGCCACATGCATGATTCTCTTCCTTTTAATCGATACAAGTGTATTGATTGGCAAATATGAGCATCTCGTAAGCAATGGTTCATTCTATCTATCTATCTATATCTATCTTTAGATTCTATATAATTTAACTCAGTATTTTATAATATTCTTCTACTAAGTTATATCCTTAATGAAAGTTACAAATATATCATATACCATGTTTTTAACTTGGTTTCAAATTCTGTCAAATACAAAAATACATGTGTATACATCTTAGAGTTCACAAGTTGCCCAGGTATTCATGGAACAATTCTTCTCAAATTTTGTTGTAAATCAAGTTACTTAGGGAGTTTGCTTAAAAAAAAAAAATCAACTGTCCGTGTCCCATCTCTAGTGATTTCCATTTAGCATATTTGAAGTAAGGTCAGTCCACTATATTTTTAACAAGCTCCCCAAGGGCTTCTGATTTACACTGTCTTAGTAGATACTTTTCAAACTTCTCTGAGTTTAGATGCTAAAAATATTTAGGATTAGCTTCTTGTTTATTTAGCAAAATACGGTTTTCTTTTCTTTGATACCTTCTGGTTAAGTTTAGCCTGTTAAAGACACTTCAAATTATTTTAAGATCTCAACTTGAAATATTCTCCCCTTACTCACCCGTTCCATCTACACTATTCCATTTTCAGTTCCTTCAGTATGTCAAGTGCCTTTGTATCTCTGGGCCTTTGGACTTGATGTTCCCTCTGCCTATAATGTCCACCCGCAGTTCTATATGGCTCCGTCATTATCCACCTACTAGGATTCTTCTTACGTCACCTCATCAATTCCTAGGTGAGGTCGTTCATTATGTTGATTATCATCTTACTTGTCAGTAGGAAGTCTCACAATTTACACATGACTTCATGTTCCACTAGAATTTAAGGCTCCGTTGAAAGCAGATATTGTTTTCTTTCTATGCTTAACCCTGTATCCCAAGTGCAGAACACACCACCTGGTGCAAAGTGGGTCTCAGAAAATGTGTTACCTCTTGTACTTATTCCTGGACAAGTCATTTGTTAGCCTTTCAATTTTTTTCCTTTGTTTGTGATTTTCTCACACACTCAGAGATTACAAATGTGAACATTATTTTAGAGTTAACCCATGCTTATCTTATTTCTTAAATTGGAAACCCCAAAACCAAAAAGGGCTGGAAGCTTGCCTGCCCCATCAAGTATATAATTAGCACTCACAGTCTAACTCTTGGTCCACTATTTGTTTCTCTACCCTAGACGATTGTTCAAAATTATACTACATATCTGACAGCAATTATGTTTCCTGAAATCACATGGCAGCTGTCATGCAGTGGAGAAATGCTGGATTTAGTTTCTGGGGGAAGGGTGCTCTGTACTATATCTCTGTTTTTTAATATTTTTTTTTGCTTTTTTTTTTAGCTATTTTACCTCCTCCCCATCGCAGGCATCTTGCAAGATCATTGCCGGTCCCGAGAGGCAGAATAGCCACTGGAGGATGCTTGACTACATTTGCCTTTTCTGTAGAATTGAAAAATTGAAATAAAATAAATTTTTGATCACAGACAGAACAACAATGAAAAAAACACAGCTTGGCATGGAAGGCATTCCACCAGGTACTTATAAACATAAAACGTTCTATTTTATAGTTATATACAATTATAAATTGATTAATTTGTATGTATTTTTAGCAATTTATAAAACAAATAAATACCAAACTTCAGAGTGACAGGAATTTTCAAGACTTATGCATGAGGAAAGCCTTTTAAATATGTTAATTCAGTTAAAAATTGTAACGTGTTTCAATTAACTCCGTTCAAATTCTCAAGGATGCAGGTATATGCAATACAGGAATATTCATACAAGGACGTAAGCAGAGTGAAGTAACTTCCTATAAAAAGTCCTTTGCAACATCAACTCGAGGTACACTTTAAGGAATAAAATATTTTGAAAGCAGTGGAATTCTAAAAGTTAGTAAAACGCTAACAATGGTTTTGTGCTGCTCTGTGTCAGAGTCAACGACGTAAAAGATTACCAGGTTTTGTTTGAGGTTCAACATTATACAACATAGTGTTTGAGTCCAGTAAAGATATTTGCCACTGAAATTCCACATGCTTTTGTTTGAATCACTGAGCAAATCTCACCAACATATATTGCTTTACTTTATTTTTCTCCCTTCTCAGCCCTTCAAGGTAAGCATATGTGGGTGTGTAGGAACGGGGAGGGAATAGATTATGTAGGGATGTGCCACAGTGTACTAGCCAAGACTTAGATTTTGAGGGCTAATGCAAACCAACAATATCCTCCTGTTTTCACTAAAATTCTTACAAGTTCTCAGATATTGTTCAAGCAACTCCTTCATTTTTGCAGTTCTTGAACTCTGGTTTTCTCCTTAAATATATTAATACCACTGACATTGTTTATTGGAAGGCCAGAGAATACAATTTTCCCTGTTTTAAAAATGTTAGTAGATTAAAGTCGTTAGATGCTTACCAAAAGTGTGCTGACAATATGTATTCATTTTTAATTTGAATATTTATTTATTTATTTACTTTTTCTGGTACGCGGGCCTCTCACTGTTGTGCCCTCTCCCGTTGCGGAGCACAGGCTCCGGACACGCAGGCTCAGTGGCCATGGCTCACGGGCCCAGCCACTCTGTGGCATGTGGGATCTTCCCAGACTGGGGCACGAACCCGTGTGCCCTGCATCGGCAGGCGGACTCTCAACCACTGTGCCACCAGGGAAGCCCTAATTTGAATATTTTTGAGAGTATGAAAAGGTAGAATATTCTCAACTGCATTGACTAAATAAAAGTTTGCTTCAATATATATAGATAGTAAAACTTCTTTTGAATCAATCTTTCCTTTTTATGAAGAGGCCTATTTTAAAAAAGATGGGTCAATGCAGATCCAGAAATATTTGAGAGCTTATTAAATTCTAAGAGAAATGAATAAGAAGGATTTCTAGTTATTTGTAAATTATTTTGTCAGTTAAAAATTTGAAATATAGAAGAATAAATTAAGCCAGTAAACAGTGTGTAACATTCCAGATTTCTAAGTGTATCACTATGTATTTTGTTTATTTAATGCATCCACATCCAAAGAGATGGATGCATTAAATAAACAAACAAAATACAAAGAATTTAAGGTTACCACTCTCACCCCAGCTACGTTAAATGTGTGTCTTCATTACCTATGCAGTCCAAAATCCACCCCACAGTTCCATCTCCACCGCAGGCTAACACTCTGAAATCAGGAACATCACGGAAAAAGCTTAACCTGAAAAATAAGCACGTTATGGCACATGATTGATATTTCAAAATTAGGACATTTTTAGTTTTGTATATTTAGCATTTCATCTAATGAAAGATTTTGATTTTATTGAAAAACATTAAATTCTTATGTAGAATGAAATTCTAAAATAAAAGTATTAACATGTCCTAAGTTAAACATTGTCATTATATACTCTATATTCTATAATAAATATATATTTTCTTTTATCAACTCTAAAGTTAAAAAAATAAAGTTAATAAAATATAATAATTTTCATTAAGATATACTCCCATATGCGGTATGCAGTTCACATAATGCAGAGTGACATATACAGAATTGTTTCATTTACTAATTTTTATTGACAAACAATTCTTTTGAATAATTATATAAATGTGACCAATAGGTCAGTAAATATGTCTTTGAGAGTTTTCTGCCTTCTCCATTACTGGGAGAAAATGATCAGGCTGCATATGAGGTTTTAGCCAACTGTATTCAGTGTTTCCTTCTGACTGAATCTGCAACTAGAAGCCGGGCTTCCCCCTGTCTTTTCACCTGGCTGGCAGTGTTTGCCACCTAGGAATACTCAAGACTAATTGCGGGGTCAGCTGTGATAAATGTCCACTGCTTCTGCTGCTACTGCATGCAGTGTGCTTATTAATGCAACCTAACTTGGGGAAAATTACAAAGGCAGGTAATGCATCCAGTTATACAATCATACATGCCTATTTTCTTGCAAAAAAAAAAAAAAATTGAAATAGGACAGAATATTTAGAATGTGTCTCTTCACCTTTCTTGCCCCAATGGTAACAATATAACACAGTTGGCCCTCCATATCTACAAGTTCCACATATGCAGATTCAACCAACCAGGGATCGAAAATCTTAAAAAAAAAATCCAGAAAGTTTCAAAAAGCAAAACTCGAATTTGGTGAGCCGCAACTATATATTTACAAAGCATTTATATTGTATTTACACCTATTTACATATCATTTACATTTTATTATGTACTGTAGTAACCTAAAGACGATTTAAAGTATGAGCAAACACTATGCCTTTTTATATAAGGGACTTAGAGCATCTGTGGATTTTGGTATCTGGAGAGTCCTGGAACCCATCCCCTGCTGATACCACAAGAACATTTTCTATAGGATTACATATATAAATGTACACATGTAAATTTTATCACACATATTTTTAACATAAATGGGATTATACTATACATCCTTTTAATTTATCCGTGTGCATTTTTTGACTTAAAAATGTCAGAGATCTTTCTGTGTCAGTGTATATATAAAGATTTATTATAAGTGAATGTATTAAATAGGGTATATATTCTATAATTAAATAAGACATTTCATGTACTTTTAAACTCTTTAGTGTTTCACTGTCACAAAAAAACAGGTATTGTAGTTAACATTATTTCAATACATTTATGTAAACAAGTGCATTATGTTCTGAAAGCTAATCTTCTATAAGGGAAATATTCCACTACAACATTATGATACCCTCTGAATGGCGCCCACTGTAGAAAATGTAAGGGCCCACTTCCTTGAAACTCCAAAACACTACATATAAACAACTTTATGATATTTCTTCAATAAGTGAAAAACACCATGGTGCTGTTATTGCATAATCACATGCCTGTTTACTAGTGGGTTGAACATATTTTTGTAGGTTTACAGATGTGTGACCTCCTTTGTGAACTGCATCTTTAAAGCCTTGTCCTTCTTTTCCATAAGTTGCATTTTATTATCTTATAAACTCTACATATTATGAGTGATATTTTAATTTAAATTAGCATCATTAGAAAAAAACATTTGGTTAATGTAATATAAACAGTGCGTAAACATAATAGAAATGTAAACAAATCAACTAAAACCCCATCCCCTGATACTAAGAGCCATAAATATTTAGAACGTGAAAATTTCCTGTATTTCCTCATGCATTGTAATGTGGGCATTTACCTTTCGTTAGACATGTTGAAATATTTTCTTCCAGACTATCACTGGTTAGTTTGCTGTTATATAAGCAATATAATAAACGCCCAACCCAGAGAGTAGAGTATTCCTAATAACTTACATATACCTGTGT